ATTTTATAAACGGTTTAGAGAGGAGGTCACAGGAGAAAGATCCACTAAAAACATGGTCAGAAGCCATAATTTCTGTCATCCACAAAGAAAGGAATGACCCAACAAAATGTACCTCATATAGGCCGATAAGTCTACTGTGCACTGATGTAAAAATCCTTAGTACAATAATGGCTAAAAGGATTTAAAGATGCATTAACAAAATTATAAAAGCTGATCAAACAGGATTTATACCTGGACGACATGGATTGAATAACATCAGGAGAACCTTAAATATAATCTCTGTAGCTAGACAGTCTGTTGGAACTTCGATGATTCTCAGCCTGGACGCAGAGAAAGCGTTTGATCGCGTAGATTGGCTTTTTCTGGAACAAACACTTAAAAGATTGGGATTTCATATAGATTTTATTAATTGGATCAGAGTGCTGTATTCTGGGCCCACTTCGCAAGTTAGGGTGAATGGACATACATCAGGGAGCTTTAATCTGAATAGAGGAACTAGACAGGGCTGTCCCCTTTCTCCTCTGTTATTTGCTATCAGTATAGAGCCTTTAGCTGAAATGATAAGGGAGAACACCAAGATAATAGGAATATCAGATGATGCTGTATGCTGACGATCTTATTTTATATATTAATAACCCCCTGTGCTCTATCCCAGCCCTTTTAGATAGCTTACATGAATTCGGGGAAGTATCCGGTTACAAAATTAATGAAACTAAATCAGAAGCTATGATACTTGTTGGCAGGTGGCCTTCTGAGCTGGACAAAAAAGTTACACTTAACTGGTCAGCACAAGGCTTTAGATACTTAGGCATAATGATTACTCCAGATACCTCAGAATTATTTAAAGCTGATTATGGTATACTGATGGCTCAGATAAGGTTAGACTTGGCTCGGTGGGAGATTCTCCCGCTCTCACTTATCGGAAGATTGAAACAGTCAGGATGAATGTACTTCCTCGACTGTTGTACTAGACAACATGCATGCCCACTGGTACCTCTTGAGACAATACCATTCTTAGAACAAAAGAAATGGAAGAAACTTAAGATAAAAAATGAATGGTTGAATTGTACTCAAAGGGTCTGGTTTCAAGTTAGGAAAATGATAGGCGCACCGTTAACAATATCTAGAGCGGTCAAAATTGCAAAAAACATAGACTTTAAAGAAATTAGATACAAGGTTCAACGCTTGGGCAGAAAAAGGCCTTGTGATCATAAACCAGTTATTTGAAGGTGAAACCCTAAAGTCATATAAGCAATTACAGGATACATTTATTTGGCCCCCAAGGATTTTTATAGATATTTACAACTAAGGAACTTTTTAATGTCACACAAAGAATGGAACAACTGCCCACACCAATAGAGGACTTCCTGATGAGGAAAATGGAAGAAAAGAATACTAAGAAAGTAGTTTCACATATGTACAGATATTTACAGGCACAATGCTCAGGAAATTCTGTTGATGTGAAAGAAAGGTGGAAGCTGGAGATGAATGTGGTCATTAAGGATAAAGAGTGGGAGGATGTGTGTGAAGTGGGGCATAAGATAACTAACAGTCCAACTTGGAAAGAATTCAGTTGGAAATTAAAAATGCGACACCATTCATAGTATCAAAATATGACAGAAGTAAGACAAATTTATGCTGGAGGAACTGTAAACAGGTTGGAGATCATACTCACATCTTTTGGGACTGTCCCAAACTAAAATCATTTTGGGAAGTGATTCAAACAGAAATACGAACCATCCTAGGAGTAGATTTACCGCTTACAGCATCATATTTCATCATAGGTTTAATACTGGAGGGAGCGATGGATAAAGGAAAGGCCCGGTTACTACACATCCTTCTTCTGGTGGCGAGGAAAACGAAAACCATATCCTGGCTTAGACCTCTACCTCCCACCCTTCTCCAATGGAGAGAAAGGCTAGAGAGGGTTTACTTGATGGAGAAAATAACAGCGAAACTCCATCTGAAAATGGATTTGTTTGTGGTTCTATGGGCTCCTGTCATTGCTTACCTTACATTACCAATAGGGTAAGAGACCGGTTTACATAATCTCAATTTATTTAAAAGAAAACATTATGTATATTTCTTTTGGTTTATTTTGGATGTGTCAGTAGACATATTCATAGAGATGTATGTGAAAGGTTAACAATTGCTTGTGTGTTTATGGACAGATATATCTGATGCCTGCTTTGAAGAAGCAATTTTTTTCCCTCTACTTGTCAAGAGTCTCCTCTTTGTGCGGATGAAGATGTTGCCATGCGTTTTATTTATTTTTAATTTTCTATGTTTGCCGAACTGTAAATAATTATTGTAAAATTATTACCATGTTTTACCAACTAAGATATGTAAATATAAATGTGTAAAATATTGAATAAAATAAATGTTTGAATAAAAAAATAAAAAAATAAATAACAAGAAGTTAAAAATCAAGCATATTTACATCAGTTAAATAAAGGGAGAAAAAATACAATAATAGAATAATACAAGGTATGTACACTTCCACATGTGGAAAGAGTTATTGTTATTTAAAACACACACAGTGTGTAGCATTATTGCTATGAGTGGTGATGCCAAGAAAACGTTTGTCCAAAGTCACAATTTAAAGTACTTTAAAAAAGAAAATCTCTTACTTTATTCTATAAATGTACAATAATGTAGTAAATTTATGCTTTTATTCTGATACACTAAGACATTTATCTTGTAAAATTACGACTTTATTCTCGAAATGGTTTCCCCCTTAATGTGGCCCTAAAACTCCTTCATAACACTGAGCTCAGGAAAATAATTTTTAGTTTTGCTGCCCCCTACAGAGCACTTTGTCCAAAATGATTTGAAACCAGCAGATCTCATTTCACTTGAAGCCTTTGGCTCGATCTTAAATGACCAAAAACGCGAGACCATTGGACAGTGCCTGATGTGTTTGAACTGTAATCTGTCATCACGACTTCTGCACTTTATCTTTTGTTTTAATTGATGTTGCTCTTAAATTATTGTTTGTGAACTGTTCCATATTCACGTAAAGTTCATTATGACGTGTGATGCTGCCCTCTTTGACAGGCCACCATGTGAAAGAGATCTTGATCTGAGTGCTTAAAGGCAGAAAATGTCACTGTCACAGTATCTATTACATTTAAGTGTGAAAAATAGCATATTCTGCCTTTAAAGGCTTTATATGCGATTTATAGATCCAGCAGATGTCGCCCTTGAGGACCAGCATGAAACCAAAACAACTCGCGCTGCATTGCCTGTGTTAGCATGCTAATGCTAGCGATCTTTATTCTGCTCGTATCTTCACACTGCATGTAAATTTACCTGAAATGAGCGTGATCTAGAAACACAGTTAAGCAGTGTGTACATTATGTTATTCTTCTTTTCTCTAGTCCCTCAATTAAACAACTTTTATACGAGAGGGGATGAGCCGGCCGGCCGTCCTGACGATGTAAACAAAGTGAAGATAGGACTCTGAAAACTCTGAAAACATCACAGAGACAGTGGGACTCGGGTGTTACACCCATTGTAGACAGTCATGACTCACAGAGTTATTTTCAGAGGATAGACTTGATTTATATTATATTTAAGTGTGAAAAATCACATATTCTGTCTTTAAAGGAGACATATTCTAAAATAAATATAATTTTTTTGACCCACAAAATGTGAAATAAATCCATCCAGTCCTTTGTTTGTGGTCTGCATAAGTCTTACAACACAGAGAAAAATGCTTCATTTCTAATTTGCTCTCCTTGTGATGTCACAGTGGGATTCTGGTAAAAAAAAAAAAAAAAAAAAACAACTCTCTGCTCCCCACCATTTTTTATAGACTCATTCATTTTCTCAGGTTGTTTCTTATTCAATAAATACATTTGCAGTTTTTTTCTATTTAAAGTATTAACAAAACTTAAAACTACTAACTACATTGACATGTAAAGAAAACTACTTCTGGCCTAAATACTCAATTGAAACACAAGTATCGCCTCTGACAAGACAAGTAGCCAGTCATAGTTTAGTGTTTTGGAGAGGCACCTGGGGTGGCTTATCAGTTTTCAAGGGGCCCCATGTCACCCCTCTAGGCACGCCACTGCATATATATTCCATCAAATGTTAACATGTGAATACATAAATGTTGATCCAGTAATCTTTTTCACTTTTGTGATCTCAACGAAGAGCCACTTTTTATCTGTTTATAGGTTTGTTGAAAAAGAACCCAATATAGGTACATTAGAGGCCATTGTTGTTTGTGAAGCTTGAAGAAGGTCACCTCCAATGTTAAAAAAAATAAATAAAATAAACATATCTACTTCAGTTGTGATGGTTGCTAATGTTTGTAGTCCCTTTGATTGCCAGAATGCAGGTATGTTCATGGAAAAATAAACAGACTGAGACTTTTTCAAATTCACCCATTTTCAAATTTCTTTTTACTGGTAAGACTTGACATGGAACAATCAGAAGTTACAGCATTTGAAAAGTGAAAGAATTAAAGGTCACATATTCTCCTCCTCTTCAGTTTAAATAAGTCTCAGAGCTCCTCAAAACATGTGTGTGAAGTTTCTTGTTCTAAATCCACTCTGATCCTGTATTTGATCATACCTATAAACCCCTTTATTTCATCCCTGCTCAGAACAGGCTGTTTCTGTGTCTGTACCTTTAAATATGTAAATGAGCTGTGTCTGACCACGCCCCCTCTCTGGAAGGACTTGGGTGTCTCGGTCTTTCTCACTCTATGTCCTATTGTTTACGGTGAGAAGGCAGACTCAGAGCACACATTTTCTGAAAAGTGGAGCAGAGAAAAGATGGAGATTATGGACTTTTCTCATCATTGGGGGTTTTGTAGACAGACTAGAGACACATATTAAGAGTTAGAGAAACATGGTGAAGTGGATTCTGCAGAATATGTGACCTTTTATCAGCAATAATTGAAACAAATTAAGACACAGAATACAAATTAAATTCTCTGTTGAAATTTTCCTTCACAGAAACTTGATTGAGTCTGGGACAGCTGGTGGTTCATCGGGGTACAGCACAGAGGCGGTAAGGTTTGGGACTGCGAGTGAATCCTAGAACAAAATCCAGGCTGGGCTGCTCTCCGTCAGCTGCAGAGAAAGAAAACCTCTGAAGAAGGTAAAAAGGTAAAAAAGAGGAATATTTCCATCTTAGCCAGCGGCTCCCCGATACACACACGCTTCCCTGAGGAAACACAGATCGACAGGTGAGGAGATTGAACACAAGACATTTATTTGATTTATAATATTGCTGCAGCTCAGAGTCTGAAACAAGCACAGACTATTGTAAGACAATAGTCATGGCAAAAAGCCAGGTGGGCAATGTTGTGTATTTTAGAAATTCTCTTCAGGAAATCATTTGGTGTATAACATTAAAGGTAGAGTCAGCAGCTTTCTCCTACAAAATCAAATACAGACTTCTCCTAAAGTAAAGCTGCTCCATCATCCCTTCTGGGCCTCCATACATGTGTGGTGGCGACTGTGTCTGCAGAGACTCTGTCCTCTGACTGGATTTTACTGTTCTGCTTTGTTCTGGTTGACTCAGGACGTTTCTGGGTGGGGAGATGGTATGTTACCCCCAGCCAATGAAAGCGCACCGGTAAGTTTAGGATTGGATACAATTCAGCGTTTGTACACCATTGAAACCGGCGAAATGACGGATGTGGAAGTAGCAGCAAGAAGAGAAAATATAATCACAGTGAAGCTCGTTGCAAAGTGAGTGTGAAGCTTGAGTTGGAGTTGATCTGCTTTCTGTTGGACAGCCAGGTGCCAAACACAGCTGGTTAGCTTGTGCTACCATGCTAAATAATCGTCTTTTCCATTACAACAAATGTAAAGGCCCTGACACACCAAGCAGATGGGAAGAAACTAGTGGCAACGAATGCCGCCTGCGGCTTCGCCTCACGTCGCCTTTGTCATGGCCAAAAGTTGCACTTGAACACACCGTAAAGACTACAACCAAAGGCGTAAGTTCTGTGCATGTGTGAGAGGAAATAACTCTCCATGCCAGCAGGCAGCGGTAGTCTGTAATCGTCATTCCAAAAAGGAGAAACCGGAAGAGGACGGAGAAGAATGCGGATATACTGTATATAAACCATTGTTTTGATACAAAAACACGGTCCAACTAGGACCGACGGCCGACAATCTCCATGGTGTGTCAGGGCTTCAATAATCTCTGGTTGCTTGCAGTGTAGGAACAAGCAGCAAACGTTCACACTTAACCGGCAGTGATAGCGATTCTGGAGGCGTTGAGCCCAGAAGGAGGGGTGTTTACGGACTGTCATGAATATTTCTACTGACGCCACTTTTATGTTGCTTTGATGGAGTTGTAACAACTGACCAACCTGCTGAGAAAGGAAGGAAGGCCTCTCTCTTCCTAAACTGGCCGTCCCGATCCAGAAAGTGTTGAGGGTTGAAGGAGTGTGGAGTTTCCCACATCGTCTCATCGTGAAGAACCGAGTTCAGGGTGGGCATGATGATGGTGCCCTGAGGAAACAGCATTTATGAAGGACATTTGATAATCCATACTAACATAACAACAGGACTGATTATCAGCAGAATGCTACAATGTGCATTACGTACCTTTGGGATTGTGTACTTGTCGAGTGTTGTGTCCTTGGTTGCCATGCGGGCCACATTAAGGGGAATGATGTTGGCCATTCTCTGGATCTCATGAACGACTGCGTTAGTATAGGGCATGTCTTCTTTGTCATTTAGAGAGGGCGCTCTGGATGAACCAATCACAGCGTCTATCTCAGCCTGGACTCTCTCTGTATACAGGGAAAACATAAAACAAGTAATTTGACCAGATAAACTGGAAATGGACTTTTTTTTCCTTCTGACTACTCAAAGCGTTTTACACCGCAGGTCACACCTACACATTCACACACTGATGGTAGAGGCTGCTGAGTAAAGAGTCCATCAGTATTAACTCATGCATTCATACACATTCACACACTGATGGTAGAGGCTGCTGAGTAAAGAGTCCATCAGTATTAACTCCTCCATTCATACACATTCACATACTGATGGTAGAGGCTGCTGAGTAAAGAGTCCATCAGTATTAAGTCAACCATTCATACGCCGCTGACGAAGCAGCGGGAGCAACTTGGGGTTAAGTGTCTTGCCCAAGGACATATCGGACATGTTGATATATTACAATATATACAATTTGATATACTTTATTAATCCCTGAGGGAAATTCTGGTTTACACTCTGTTATTAAGAGACATGCTTCTCACACACATAGGCCTGAATCACACGCATGCACAGTGACCTGTGGACATCATTAGTGGAGAGAAGTCAGAGTGCGGCTAGGAGCACACCAGAGCTGTTGGGGGTTCGGTGCCTTGCTCAAGGGCACCTCTGCAGTACTCTTGCTTATCACCAGCTACCAGACCAACTTCCATATTATGGTCCGTATTGGGACTTAAACTGGCCACCCTGTGGTTCCCAACACAAGTCCCTACGGACTCGGCTACTGCCGCCCCCGACTTTCCGGTTGAACCCCTGACTTTTCGGTTGAGAGACGAACTGACTTATCCTGTTGAAGAATTCTGATACTATAAAGTCCTGCTAAAACTTTTACAAAACTAAGCAGACATGGGAAGGGACATATATGACTATCACACACACATACCTTGTATTTGAGGGTAGTAGATCATGTACAGCAGTCCCCAGTGTAGAGTAGTGGTAGTAGTTTCAGTTCCAGCACCAAACAGGTCCAGAGTGCAAGAACACAAATTCTCGATATCAAAACTAGAATCTTTTTCGTCTCTCTATCAATAAAACAAAAAGACAGTGTCAAGTACAAGTTTGCATATTCAATTACAATATGCAAACACAACACACACAAAATCTACCACAAAGACCTCCAAACATGTAAACTTTTACCTCTCCCATCTCTGTGAGGAAGCAGTCGATGTAGTCTCTTGGTGAGGACGGGTCTAGACTATCTCTGTGTTCTTTGACCTTGATTTCAACAAAGTCAACGATCCTTTTGAACATAGTTAAAATCTTGTTGTGAGATCCAGGCAGCCACTTCATCAGCCAGGGGAACGTGTTATAAATCTACAGAGTATGGAGGCAGCAATCAGTTAAGCATGAGGTAGATTGAAACCTAAACAAGTCAAAGGTGCAGGCTGTTGTAGATGGGGCAAAACATTGTGGACGTGTGCTCCAGAAACCTCTTGGTGGTTTATCATCTACCCAAAGAGTTTAATTTCACTGAAATGTGTTGATGGTTGCTCTGATGTAAAGAAGATGGAGAAAAAAATAATGCAAACAGGCTAGCAACTGATATCGATTGTAGTGGGAGCAGTCTCAGTAATCATTAAATTTACATTTTCTTTTGGAACCACGTCTCTGTCTTGATTCAGTTGTTGAACCTGTGTTGCTTTTGTCTGATTAAGGTGTTTATATATTTCCTGGGGTGAAATTCCCCAGGTGGCGTCGTGGGGTCAGTTAGATTTTTGTTGTCTATTATACACCAACCCTTATTGCCCCTTGCCACATCCATAAGATCAGATATTAATTTATTGCAATATATAATGTTTGTTTGAGTAGCATTCTGTCTTTTAAATGGAACTCCAAAGGTTTCAGTACTGAAGGGTTTTAATTTCATAGAAGCATTTATGAGGAACCCTTTCTTTTTTGTCACATCAAAATAGTCATCTTGTTCCCCGAATTTTCTTCCAAGTTATCCAGGGTAGGGTCGCAGTGGCAGCAAGCAAGTCGCCCCAGACTTCCTTCTTCTCAACGCTTTCTAGCTCCTCCTGGGGGATTCAAAGGTGTTCCCAGGCCAGACGGGATATATAATCCTTAAGCAGTCCACTAAAAATTATAATTTTTTACACTCTGTTTAACGAACATGCTACACAACCATAGGCCGAAATCCTCCCAGTTGCCCATTTGGATGTGCCTGGGCCATATCTGGGACAGGATCAGTGTCAGTGTCTTACAATAGTCTGTGCTTGTTTCAGACTCTGAGCTGCAGCAATATAAAAAATCAAACAAATGTCTTGTGTTCAATCACCTCACTGGTCGATCTGTGTTTCCTCAGGGAAGCGTGTGTGTATCGGGGAGACACTGGCCAAAATTGAAATATTCCTCTTTTTTACTTCCCTTCTTCAGAGGTTTTCTGCAGCTGATGGAGAACAGCCCAGCCTGGAAGCATCTTAATCAGATGCCCTAACCACCTCAACTGGCTCCTTCCGATGCAGAGGAGCAGCTGCCCTACTCCGAGCTCCCTTCGGATGTCAGAGCTGCTCATCCTCTCTCCAAGGCTGAGCCCAGCCACCCTCCAGAGGAAAGTCCATTTGTAGTCCAGTTCTAATTCTTTAGGTCACTTCACAAAACTTCTGACCACAGGTGAGGATTGGAACCATAGTCTGTATTTAATATATAATATTTACAGTTTGTGGTTGGAGCGAAGATCAACCTGGGAACCAAGAGCTTTGCCTTCAGGCTCAGCTCCCTCTTCACCATGACAGTTCTACGCAATGCCGCATTAATGCTGCAATCCATTTTACCCATACTCGTGAACAAAATGGTAAATGGACTTGAGCTTGTATATTTATTTTCTAGTCTTCTGACTACTTAAAGCGCTTTCACACCGCATGCCATACCTACACATTCACACACTGATGGTAGAGGCTGCTGTGTAGTGAGACCAACAGAAGTAACTAATCCCATTTATACACATTCATACGCCGCAGGAGTAATTTCGGGGTTAAAGGTCTTGCCCAAGGACACATCGGACATGTGGCTGCAGTAGCTGGGGATCGAACCCTTGACCTTCTGGGTTGAAAGACCACCAACTCTACCAGCTGAGCCGCAGCTGCCCCAAGACTCAAGATACTTGAACTCCTTTGCTGAGGCAGAGGCTCACTCCACACCTGGAAGGAGCAGTCCACTCTTTT